ACTCTGACGGACAAGAACAGAATTGCTCCTCTGTGATGAATGGAGTCCCACAGTAGTAGTTTATGTTTTTTAAAACAAGAGATGCACAAAGAAAGAATGAAAGAGAAAGCGAGAGAAATACAGGAAGTCTCATGTTTGTAACATTCTAGGATGTGCTGTGAGTTTGCTTGAAATACAACCTCTTCCATGGTCATTTCTCTGAACCAATATTGTGAGTAGAGACCTCCATTCTTGCAAAAAAATCTGTGACAAGTCATTACCAATTGCCTGCAGGTTGATCAGGCAGTGGAGTTACTCCTCATCACGTCCCTTCCTACACCACAGTTTTCTGAAGATGTGGGTTGTACCCACGAAAGCTCATGATCCCATCAACATGTATCGTTGATCTCTAAGGTGCTGCAAGACTATTTGTCATTTTTAAGTGTTTCCAGTTACAGACTAACTCAGCCGCCCATCTGAAGCTTTTCTATACTGCCGACAGCTGTTCCCTAACCCATTTACACTTAAACCCAGTTGATCCTGCCACTTCAATGAGAGTTATGCATTTATAACTCATGGCCTATCCAGGCCCATGATGTGTAATTTACACCATGGTCTACATCTAATGCAATACGCCCAGAGATTGCCATGGGAGTTCCACCTGCCTATTTCAGGCAGGAGTTTGCTTGGGGCTCTTCTCCAAGTCTGCCCCCAGCTGTGGGTGATGAAAGCTGAGAAACAGACTTCCCCCTGATGCTTTGGTATTTTATCCACCACCACACTGGGCTGCTTCATGACATGATACTGAACAGTAATTTGGGGCCAGATCTGCAGCTGATGTAAATCAGCATCGCTCCACTGATGCCAATGAACTGATGCTGATTTACACTAATTGAAGGTCTGGCCCTGTCATGGCTATTTCCCCACTTTAACACTTTGGCTACGTCTACATTGGCATCTCTTTCCGGAAAAGGGATGCTAATGAGACGAGTCGCAATTGCAAATCCGCGGGGGATTTAAATATCCCCCGCGGCATTTGCATTTACATGGCTGCCGCTTTTTTCCGGCTTGGGGATAAACCGGAGAAAAGCGCCAGTCTAGACACGATTCTCCGGAAAATAAGCCCTTTTCCGGAGGATTTCTTATTCCTACTTTGAGTGTAGAAAGTAGGGGGTCCTCAAGAGATCTTAACAATACCCTGCCTCTAGAGGGTTCTGTTTTTAAAAACACCCTAAGGTCACCGATTCCCTAATCTTGGAAGGTAGCTGCCACCATCCAAGTGAAAAAACAAACCAAAACACTTTTCTTCTTGAATCCAGGAAGAAATCACTTGCCAACTTCTTCCACCACAAGAGATCTTGAAAAAAAAAACAGGACACAAACTGTAATCTCTGAGCTGACCTCTCAGTTTAGTCCAGGACACAAGAATCAGATCATAGCCTTCAAAAAGGTGACTTTATTAACAAAACAAAAAGATATACTTGGTAAAGCATACTTGGTTGCTAGATGTTATAGAGCAACTGAGAAAAAACAGATTAAAGCACAGAGAGTTGTATTCCTGGAATTCAGCTTTAGTTACAGTGTACTGAGGGAGGGCACATGGACTCTGCACAGAGGAATCTAACCAAACAACAAAACTAAGAAAATACCCAGATTGTGTCTAACTAAAAACATTCCCTGTCTACTCACGTTTCTGTACTGCCAAGGTCCAGTCCAATTTTAGGTCTGATATTCTTTTCTAGGCATAGTACTCTTGCCTGGTTTAATTCATCTTGTTTCCCCAGCTCCTGGTATGAACTCCTCAAAAGTCAAGTAGCAGACAGATCCCCTTTCAATTCAAATCTTAACATTGTCTTCCCATTGATTCTCCAGGCTCCCTGCCAACACTTCCGAACTCCCTGGGTTTATCCCTTAAGTTACTGAATACTGGGATCTTTAGAAAAGGACAGTGCCCCTTCCATCCATCACAGGCCCTTGGAGGCCTTTAAGTGAACCTTGAATGTTCACAGTGTGGTTCACTTGAGAAATGAGACCAGGAAGTCTCTGTGGCTGAAACTCTAGGCTACGTCTAGACTGCAAGCCTCTTTCGAAAAAGAGTGTCTAGACTACAACCAGTACTTTTGAAAAAGCAGTTTGCATTACATAGCGCCTTTTTTCGAAAGAGCACTTTTGAAAAAAGGTGTTCTTCCTGGTAAAACGAGGTTTTCTGTGGTCAAAAAAACTGCCGTGTTCTTTCAATTTACTTTCAAAAGAATGCAGCAGCAGTCTAGATGCAGGGGACTTTTTTTTTTTTTAAAGGCCACTTTTTTTAAAAAAACCTTGTAGTCTAGACACCCCCCCAGAGTCCAGAACAACTCAAGCTCTATCACCTGCCCCAAACTGTGCAGTTCAGATTCTTTTTGCACACCTCAAACTGGAATAGAACTGGGTGCCCCAGGAATGCAGGATCAGAACCAAACACTAACAAGTTCTGATCCAGAAAACAGGACTATGTAGCACTTTAAAGACTAACAAGATGGTTTATTAGGTGATGAGCTTTCGTGGGCCAGACCCACGAAAGCTCATCACCTAATAAACCATCTTGTTAGTCTTTAAAGTGCTACATAGTCCTGTTTTCTGGATCAGAACTTGTTAGTGTTTGTGGGGCTATGAGGTGTATTGTGGGTGTACAGCAAATGTGTGATACAACATAATTCACCACAATTAGTCCCCTGGTTGGGGTAGCTTTGATACCAGGGCATCCTGTTTGGCACCTCATTTATGATGATAGCCAGAGGCTCATCATATGTAGGTCCCAATATGATTGAGAAAGGGCATCAGTACTGTTATTCCCAATTAATAAATGGGGAAACTGAGGCACAGAGAGGGGAAATGACTTATTCAAGATAACCCAACAGCACAGACAGGAATAGAACCCACATCTCTGTCCAGGGCTCAATCTACTAGGCCATATTGTGTAATGGATAATTAGAGACTAATATATAATTCAGTTTCTCAATGTCTCTGCTGTACACCACAAGAGTTCGCAGGACTGAAAGGTAAATTCCAGATTCTGTGGCTATTTCATGGACTGTTCTGCTTCACCTTTGCTCTAACCATCCGCTGAGGAATTGGGGAGAGCAACTGACCCTTCTATGGTTACCAAAAGCAGAAAGAGAGACCTGAAAAAGCAACCAGCCCCAACGCTCTGCTAGCGGAACAAACAACAAGTGGCAAAATACGTGGGGGTGGAAACTGACCACAGTAGCAAATGCAGCTCCTCAGACAGCCGGTTCTCATGTATTTTTTACATGTTTGGTCCTTTGCAGCAAACATGGTTGTTTGTCTTGTAGCCTGTGGTTTTATTTTACGGTCAGTCTCAATTAAATGTTGTAAAACATAATGTAGAAATAAAAATCAGTCAGAACAATGACAGTATCTTTCCCTTTGTCTAGGATTTTAACAGACTCATATTAGAAAAGAGGAAATGTAAAATGAATGGAGATCAGTTAAGTTTGGCAGGGAGCAATAGTCTTTAGGATGACTTTTCAACCTTGCCTACAAAACTACATTGCCTGACTCCTATTGATTCTAGAAACCCTACTCCTCACCTGCCTGGAGTTTTAAGCCTCAAAAATACCTTTGTAAATCTGCTTGTAAGAACCCCTACATGCCACTGGGAAAAAAGGGACTTCCTCCTCCAGGTTCCTAAATTACCTTTTAAAACATGACTTAGGATCCTAAGTGATATAGGTGCTTCTACCCCAATGTTGATGCATTTCTGTAACAACACTAGCTACAGCTATGACTTCCTTAATGAACATTTGTAATAAGTTTCAGGCAGAGATACCGAAAACAGCCATAAGAGAGGGAGGGAGCAGAGGTGCGTGGAAATGGTGATCCCAGTTAAGCTGCTAATCCAGCAGCCTTTTCAAACCAAAGAGCCAAACTCCATCAAAATTCAGGACAAGCGACCAATAAAGAGCCGTATCAGAATGCCCATTTGCATGTCTGAAAATATACAATGTAAAAATATACAATGTGTGTACTATCATTGACATAGTGATTAATAATAGCATCAATGAAACATTGTACTCACAGACTTTATTGAATAGGACTTCTGCTGCTGCATCTTTTTGCACGTTTCTTTGACGTTTACATTGTAAGTGGTCGAATCCAACTTCATGAAGGCATTCAGGCTGTCTTCTGTCAATCTTATGGAAGCAAGTTGGATGTGGGGGTGCAGGAGTCTGGGTTGGAATGTATGAGGGGCTCGGGGCAGGGGGTTCAGATGTATCATGGGCTCAGGGCACAAGGTTGGGGTGCAGGAGTGTTATGGCAGGGGGTCGGAGCTGTGGGAGTCCAGGAGTCTGGGATATTGGAGCATGAGGGGCTCAGGGCAGAGGGCTCAGATGTATGATGGTCTCAGGGCACAAGATGGGGAGGTGTTGGAGATATTTAAGAGCACGCGCCCGAAAAAAGTCCCCAGCATAGAAAGCAGGACTCAGGAGCAGGGTCAGAGCATAACACAAGGATTCAACAGTGAATTTGGGCCCTTGATTGGTATAAACTCTTTGGAAGGGATGGGTATGGACTCTCGTACTGGGCATTTAGTTTTGCTCTCTCTGGAAACAATTTTGCACAGAAAACGAAGGAACGTGCCTTATGCACATATTTGAAATAAGTGCCCTGAAAGTAGGTTTTGCCCCAAACGTTCCCAGATGGGGTCGCTCCATCACATTTCCATATTCTAGCTCCACCCAGAGGACTCCACCCTCAGCCCTTTCCTTAGTCTATCGTTTTAATGAAACATTCAAGCTAAGTTTTCTTTTGGCTCATTTCCTTATCTTCTTCAGTTTTCCGGCACCAGTGTGAAATTGATGCTAATCTCATCTGCATCCCTGAAACATAGGACTGAAGTCAGAAGAGAGTCTTGTTATGGGCATCCAATTAGAACTCAACAGATCGCAACAGCCTCGCATACCATGCTGAAAGTCAGTCTGAATTTGAATTTCTTTTCTAATCGATTTCACGGGCAAAGGAATATTCTTCCACTGGCTTGCTCTGCTGGCTCTCGCAGTACAATTTTCAACTGGGTTATCAATACCTTTCTGCCCTCCTTTTCTGTCACGCATCTTGTCCCCCTGATCTTCAAGAGGAAACAGAACATTTTCCTCTCCACGTGATAAAGTCTTTCATCAAGTGATCCATTAGCTAGCAGACGTCTGTTTGTCTCTCAGCATCGCCTCTTCATGACTGAAGAAAGGCACGAGATGCTTCACCAGGCACTTGGGATGCTTCTAGTCTATCTGCACAGTGAGTATTTTAACCTGATTTATTTCATGCTTGTTTTCTACCACTTTAAAAACAATTAACTCTATACACAAGAATCTTCTGCCATTCCAAGAGGTGCTAACATTGACTTGGGAGAGAGACTCTCACATCTTTCAATTCATTGACTGAAATCTTGAGAGAGGTGATGAAATATTGTGTTTTGAAACAGCTGAATGCGAGGTGCAAACTGCTTGAAAATAGTTTCTGGATAATATTGTGCATTGGGGTGCAAAATCAACTCTTTTTTGCACATCTATTGCATACAAGCTGATGTACTTTTCTGCAGATGATCAAAAACAGAATTTGAAACACCAGAGGCTTAGTTAATACATGATGCTCTGACGCAAAATTTAATCAAATTAAAGTTTATTATTGATTAGGATAAGCAGAAGTGGGCACTTGTACTCTTCTGATTAAGGCAGGGGACTGAAGTCTGAACCCCAACAACTGATCTCTGTTGTTACATGACATTAATTCCTGCACAGGCTACATGAATCCTAACACATGGCTAGAAATAGAGAAAAATTAAAATGAGTGAATTAAACGTTTTGTTTATTCTTGGATCGTCTGCTCCATGTAGAAGCTTCAGGGGGGTAGCCGTGTTAGTCTGTACAGGATAAACTTAAAAAAACAAAAACTGGTCTGGTTGCACTTTATAGACTATCAAAACATATAGATGGTATCGTTAGCTTTCGTGGGCACAGCCCACTTCTTCAGATCATCTTTGGTCATCTGAAGAAGTGGGCTGTGCCCACGAAAGCTCATGATACCATCTATATGTTTTGTTAGTCTATAAAGTGCTACCAGACCAGTTTTTGTTTTTAAATCTACTCCGTATAGTTATTGGAAAAACCCAGCCTTTTCCAATGCTCACTGTACACACGTTCTTCCCCATCTAGTGACTGCTTCGGAAGAAGAGATACAAATCCTGCAAAGCCCAACAGAGCTATGGCTGACCTCTGGGAAGAATGCACAGCTGGACTGTAAAATATCAGAAGAAGAAGTGAGCACGATGTGGTACAAGGAGCAACAGAATGGAGGCTTGCAGTGGATTCACCAGAGTTCCAAGTTTAACTCTTCCAAGGGAAAATACTCGAGTAAAGTGGACATCACAGCAAAAATGTATTCTCTTATTATCAGTAATGTACAAAGAAATGACTCAGGGGTTTATTATTGTGGCCTCTTTTCCTTTCTGTATCTACAGCCCAACTTTGGGAATGGGACCAGACTCGTTGTCACAGGTGAGTTTCCAGTGGCTCAGAACACTGAGATTCCAATGCTAGGGGCTGTTGTGAAAAAAAAAAAACCTCTTTTAGGGCAAGATTGTGACAGATCCCCCCAGTTTCATCTCTCAGCTATTGGTATTGCAAAACCAGGCAGCAAGCGAGCACAAGGGCTGGGAAACCAGGAGACAGAGGTTTTGTTCCTGAATCATTGGGCATGGAAGGGGTAAGAATTTTTTTAAATCAGCACCCAAAAGTTGTCATTTAGGTTCCCAAACAAATGATCAGGTTTCTAAAGTGATCTGATCCAAATGCAGATTTGAAAATCTGGGGCATTTTGGAAAAATCTGACCTTCGATTTCTCTGCCTCATCTGTACCAGGCGGACAACGGGTCCCTTGGTAGAAGCACTTTGAGATCTAGGGATGGAAAGCACTGTATCTTTAGAACTTCTCACAGTTGTTGACCAATCCTACTGAAACTGCCTGAGGCCAGTACGTGGGATACTTCCCCCCTGCCCCTACTATCCTTATAATAAGACTTCAGTATTAACCGGATTTTCCCCCCCAAGTAGTCACCAGGCTTCATGAAATGATTCCCCCCCCATGTGTCCTTCACACATAGGACTCTTCATTCTGCAGAACATATGAACATAAACACAGACTGTACATCTAGTGACAGCTATCGATAGATTTGATCTGCATTCTGGCAAGAGATTAGTTAAGGCGCTACTAGAGACTGTGACTCAGACTTGTGGAATGTCCATAGTAGGAATTCTTAGCCAAATTGTTATGTCCAAGGAAGAATCGCTCCTTTGCCAGGATTTTCATAGCTAGATCTCAAGAACACTTTGCAAAGGGGACTCACATAATGTCCCCAAGTTGACTAAAGACACACACCAAATCAGAGCTGGGGCTATAGTTCAGGTGTCCTGTCTCCCAGGCTGGTGTCCTTCCTTTGTGTGTTGTTCTGAATTGAACACGCTGATGATCCTCAGCAAATAATCCACGAAGGCCAGCTTAGGGCAAACTTCTGAGCAGTGTCGGAAGGGGGGAGCCTCCCAAGGTGGATGCCCCAGAGGGTTAGACACTGACAACGAACAACTACACAAAAATGAGAAGGCTAGTTAAACAGAAATTAAAAGGTACAGTGACAAAAGTAAAATCCCTGCAAGCTGCATGGGAACTTTTCAAAGACACCATAATAGAGGTCCAACTTAAATGTATACCCCAAATTAAAAAACACAGTAAAAGAACTAAAAAAGACCCACCATGGCTTAACAACCAAGTAAAAGAAGCAGTAAGAGATAAAAAGGCATCTTTTAAAAAATGGAAGTCAAATCCTAGTGAGGAAAATAGAAAGGAGCATAAACACTGCAAATTAAATGTAAAAATGTAATAAGAAAAGCCAAAAAGGAGTGTGAAAAACAGCTAGCCATAAACTCAGAAGGTAATAAAATGTTTTTTAAGTACATCAGAAACAGGAAGCCAGCTAAACAACCAGCGGAGCCTCTGGATGATTGAGATACAAAAGGAGTACTTAAAAATGATAAAGTCCAGTGGGGCCCCTGGACAATTGAGATACAAAAGGAGCACTTTAAGATGATAAAGTAATTGCGGAGAAACTAAATGAATTCTTTGCTTCAATCTTCATGGCTGAGGATTTTAGGAAGATTCCCAAACTTGAGCCGTACTTTGTAGGTGACAAATCTGAGGAATTGTCACAGATTGAAGTGTCAGAGGAGGTTTTGGAACTAACTGATAAACTTAACAGTAACAAGTCACCAGGACCAGATGGCATTCACCCAAGAGTTCTGAAAGAACTCAAATGTGAACTTGCACAACTATTAACTATGGTTTGTAACCTGTCCTTTAAATCAGCTACTGTACCCAGTGACTGGAAGATAACGAACATAATGCCAATATTTAAAAAGGGCTTTAGAGGCGATCCCGGGAATTACAGAACAGTAAGTCTAACGTCAGTACCGGGCAAATTGGTTGAAACAATAGTAAGGAATAAAATTGCCAGATACACAGAAGAACATAATTTGTTGGGCAAAATTCACCATGGTTTCTGTAAAGGGAAATTATGTTTTACTAATCTGTTAAAACAACAAATCGTCTGGTAGCACTTTATAGACTAACAAAACACGTAGATGGTATCATGAGCTTTCGTGGGCATAGCTCACTTCTTCGGATGACCGGAGTTTTGAGTTTAGTTTACCAGACCATTTGTTGTTTTTTAAGTTTATCTGTACAGGCTACCCCATAAGTGTCTAATCTGTTAGAGTTCTTTGAAGGGGTCAACAAATGTGTGGACTAGGGGGACCCAGTAGATATAGTGTACTTAGATTTCCAGAAAACCTTTGACAAGGTCCCTCACCAAAGGCTGTTACATAAATTAGGTTGTCATGGGATAAGAGGGAAGATCCTTACATGGACTGAGATCTGATTAAAAGACAGGAAACAAAGGGTAGGAATAAATGGTAAATTTTCAGAATGGAGAGGGGTAACTAGTGGTGTTCCCCAAGGGGTCAATCCTAGGACCAATCCTATTCAACCTATTCATAAATGACCTGGAGAAAGGGGTAAACAAGTGGATAAGTGTAAAGTAATGCACATTGGAAAAAATAACCTCAACTATACATACAATATGATGGGGGCTAATTTAGCTACAACTAATCAGGAAAGAGATCTTCGAGTCTTCGTGGATAGTTCACTGAAGAAGTCCATGCAGTGAGCAGCGGCAGTCAAAAAAGCAAACAGGAATTTAGCAACTATTAAAAAGGGGATATAGACAATAAGACGGAGAATATCTTATTACCTTTACGTAAATCCATGGTACGCCCACATCTTGAATACGGCATACAGATGTGGTCTCCTCATCTCAAAAAAGATATACTTGCATTAGAAAAAGTTCAGAAAAAGAGCAAATAAAATGATTAGGGGTTTGGAACGGGTCCCATGTGAAGAGAAAGGACTTTTTAGCTTAGAAAAGAGGAGACTAAAGGGGAATATGATAGAGGTCTATAAAATCATGAGTGGTGTAGAGAAAGTGAATAAGGAAAAGAGCTAGGAGGCACCAAATGAAATTAATGGGCAGCAGGTTTAAAAAAAATAAAAGGAAGTTCTTCTTCACACAGTGCACAGTCAATCTGTGGAACTCCTTGCCTGAGGAGGTTGTCAAGGCTAGGTGTGACAGGGTTTAAAAGAGAACTGGATAAATTCATGGAGGTTAAGTCAATTAATGGCTGTTAGCCAGTATGGGTAAGGAATGGTGTCCCCAGCCTCTGTTTGTCAGAGGGTGGAGATGGATGGCAGGAGAGAGATCGCTTCATCGTTACCTGTTCGGTTCACTCCCTCTTGGGTACATGGCATTGGCCACTGTCGGCAGACAGGATACTGGGCTGGATGGACTTTTGGTCTGACCCAGTACGGCCGTTCTTATGTTCTTAACTTGCACAGACAAAGCCTTGGACATTTCAAACGTGCTGCGCTCATGGGGAAAGGGCTGGGGGGCACTAGCTGAGCTACCACTGGCAGCTCTTTCCAGTCTCTAGTTTCTGGGACTCTCTTTTAGATGCCTCTGAGCCGAGACTTTCCGTCCTGGCGCCCTCCGACCCGGGGGATGCTGAGCTTCCCCATGATGTGCCCCTGCTCTGCCTGCTCTCAGATTTCACTCCCCCCTGGAGTGTTCTCTGGGACACCGGGGAGGGGCCGTCGGAGGGCCAGACGGATGCCGGAGCCATAGACGGGGAGGGGATATTCAGCGTCTGGAGCCTAACGACAATCCCATCCGAGTGGTGGAACCAGGAGACGAGCTGCACGTGTACGGCCAAGGAGAGCGGCACAGGAAGACACATCAGCGCTACCATCGCCATGGAAACAGGTCCAGTATCGTGTCCTCCAACCTCACCTGCCTCCCTGGGCACTTATCCTACGCCCCTCACCATGGCACTGTTAGTCCCAAGAAGAACAGTTCCTCTGTCACGATTTTCACCGTAGTCTCTGGGCACCGAGTGGCAGCAACATCTACTTGCAGCTAGAGAAATAGAATCAGATCATTTTGCACGGCCCTTTTCCCTGTCCTTTGTACAACCCACTGCCTCCACATCCAGGACGGCAGCATGCTACAGCTCACAGAGCAATGTGCATGGCACGGTAAGGAAAGATCCTCTCTTTGCCCAGGAGGCGGGGTGGGCGATAGAGATCTAGGGCCCTCTTTTAACAGGAGTTTTCTGTACTCGGCAGAGAGAAAAGACGCTGCGGGCTGTGAGATTGTGTTCTATGCCGGGCTGCCCTGTATTTTCATCCTGCTCCTGACCCAGCTGCTGATCTTGCTGTGGAGAAAGCGCCCGACCGGAGGTAACTCAGTCAAAACTCTCTCTGCCATAAAACAGTCGCTCACCACACATTCGTGTAACTGGCCCTTTGTTTCACTTATCAGGGAGAGCTGTGCAAAGAGGGAATCCAGTACGGGAGAGGCAGATCCCACAGGTAAATGGCTTTTTCATCTTTTGGTACATCACTGTTTTTCTACTCTAGTATTTACTAGGGATGTCTGTGGTTAACCAGTAAATTGGTAACGGTTACCATTTAACTGGTGGTCCAACTGGGCTGGAGCAGCCCTCTACTCACCCCTGTTTAAGTGCTTAACTCGTTAAATTTAATATTTAACCGATTGAATGGGATTTTACATCCCTAGTATCCACACCTTACCTCCTGATGTCTCATTTGAAGGTATCCTTTTCCGCCTTCTTGAAGGAAGTGTCATGTAGGGTTATTGGTACAGAACAACTCCTGGGTCTGGTGTAATACACAAAACTAATAATTATATCCTCTCTTTCCTTTTGCTATTTCAGACGGAATACGCCACTCTGCCGTACAGGGACCAAAATGCTCCTCTGTGATGGATGCAGTCTCAGAAAGCGGTTTACGATTTTTTAAAACAAGCGATGCAAGGAGAAAGGGCGATTGAGAGAGCGAGAGGCACGGGGAAGTCTTGTGTTTGTCAAGATGTTTGTGTGATGTGAGTGTGCTTGAAATACAGCCCCTTCCGTGGTCCGTTCTCTGGACACGTCGTCCAGGCTGACATTGCCATCCTTGCACAACCCCACACAGGGTCACTGGTGCGGAGACTACAGGTTTGTGGGATGCTGGCTTTACCTCTCCTCTCAAACATGTCACCATAATGCCGTCTCAGATTTCATTCACCCCCCGGGACATTCTAGCCACTCACGGGTTTAGGTCATCCAGCTCTGACAACTTCTTCCATCCGCCCATTCTCACCACAGCCCCTACCTGTTCTCTTTCAGGGCCCTCTCGTGCTTTCCCTCTCCCAGGGTATCAGACTCCCACAGAACTGCCTCAGGCAGCCTTCAAACCCGCTGTCCTGATTGCAACACCCCCCCAGGACTTGTTGGGGACCCCAGGCCCACCCTCAACTCCTGGTTTGAACTCAGGGACCATCAAATCAGCAGCCAAAGTCT